AGGGGGAGCAGGTGATTATCTCAAGGCCAGATGCTCCACTAAACATGACAGTTCCTGAGAATGGTGGGAGGGCTCTCTGAGGATTAGAAATTCCCAAATGCAGGCCAACAGAGATAAGAGGTCCGAGTGAATGAGCAGCATGTGGAGGGGAGGTGTGCTCACCCACAGAGAAGCCCTCACAAGGTACGGGGCCCATCCATTAACATAAGGAGAGTTCCTGGAAATAAACACTAGATTGGGTTGAGGAAACTGCTCTGTGCCTGCTCAGAGATCTTTTCTGGGTGATTTGTAACTAGAAGCAATGAAGAAAGTGCAAGGAAACAGTTTGCGGCTGGTGATTGGACCACAGAGGATCCTTGGCCCACAACACTGCCTGTCTGGGTCTGAAAGCTCTTCCTAGGTTTCTGATTATTGAATCACTTTTTAAAGCCCCTTTTTGGATTTCGGGGTTGTGTTCAGCTTCATGAAAATGGATAAATTTTACATTCAATCCTAGTTCACTGGAGAAATAGAAAAACAAAACAACCCCCTTATTTCTCAGCTGATTTTTCGATTCAGCTTAAGAACAGGTTAAGAATTCAGATTCAAATGAGGTTAAGAATGAAAGAATCATACTGGATCAGTCCAGAAGTATATCCAGTCTTCCTTCCTGCTCTCACAGTAGCTACTCAGATGCCTACAGAGAACATACAAACAAAATGTAAGTACAATAGCTCTGTTCTTGCACAACTGGTATTAAGAAGCATTCTGCCTCCAACACTGGAGGTAATATACAGCTATCTTGAATAGTACCACTAATTCTGACTATAGGAATAGGTACACAACATCAATCATTGTCACCTTACACAGATGAGAATACAAAGGTAGACATTTGAGGTAAACTGTGTATAGTTTTATCCAGTATTAATATGAGAATCTACTATAACAGTAGGGGAGAATTATATACTGTTTCAAAGGAATGTTAACTTGGCTGCTATAACTATTTCTAGCTTTGTTTAGCATGGTTTATTATGAAAATCCTTAGCTTCTCAATATGTTTCCCCTGTCTTTGCTTCACCATGGTGATTCCTTAAGGGTGTGATGATTCTGTGCCAGTGCATGAGAATGATGTTTCTCTTGGCTGCTCATTTTAACCAGTCTGGTATATAAATCTTGTCGTAAATCTGTTATATGAGTGCCTGGCTGTATGGTATGCACAATGTTACAGTTTGATCCTGACTCTATTGTCAAGTGAATAACCAAATGTATTCAAATGTCTACAAAATTTCTGTTCATTTAAGAAATGTAGATGCTTGTTGGTGACCTGGGTCTATGCTTAAAAAAAATCATATCATCCATCATCATCCATCATCATCATCTGTATATTTCCCAATAGCTGAAGCTTTTTGTGTAGTTAACACTATGAAATTGTATAATTAATAATTAGAGACACATATACTTGACTGGAAAGTATAATCTTGGGAAACAGATGCCTCCATTTGGCACACAAGGATAATATAGAGCTGTATATCAGGGATGGGGAGCTTGTGGCCCTCAAGATGTTTTAGCCTACAACTTCCATCACTGTTAACTATGCTACTCTTGTCAGATTGGAGTTCTAGGCCAAGCACTGTAAAGAAAGCCCTATTTAGTATTGCATGGAGATATTTCCGATCTCCACATCCCTGTGCGTGTTTCAAACTATTTCCCTGTGTAGTTCAAACCCTGGAACTTGAAAGACTACCTTCAAGTTTTTCAAAGTGAAAAGTAAAACTTAGCTAATCTCAAGGACTGAGTTCAAGTTTATATTCCAGAATGTGTTTGGAAGTACATTGAAAATGCAAGGAAAAAGTAACTTGTCTACTGACCTTTGCTTGTCTGTTCATCTTCCACCTGTAACACATTCATATGTTGTCTGCATTCCTATGTAGGGCAGTTTCAGGTTTTAGTAAGGATAGCTTGAGGATTTGAGAAAGGTGGAAAAGAGGAACTGCCAGATTCCCCCGGCATGTGAAGGTATGTCTGCCTTTTACTGGCATGATAGCTGATGGCCTTCCCCAGGTTGGAGTCTGTCCTCAAGCGGATAACTTTTCTGAATAAGTTATCATAGTTTCCCAGAATAGATAGAAATAGCATTTCATTCCCACCAAATATTTGCTAATCTGACTGACTCACCCTTCCTTCTTAATGACAATACAGACTCTTGAATTCTCAATTATAAAAGAGACAAAGCTTAACTGCAGCCAAACACATACCCTGAACTTCAAGAAAGCTAATTTTAATGAACTCAGAACAATGATAAGCAAGGTGCCATGGGTTAGCATGGTTTCCCTTAACTGGAATCCAAGAGGGATGGGAAATCTTGAAAAAGAAGATTCTCAAAGCACAACTATGAACAATTCCAACAAAATGTGTAGAAGGCAACAGAGGAAGCCTACATGGATCCACAAAAGATTAAGTGACAACCTGAAAACAAAACAAAACAAAAGAACATGAACACAAGATGGAAGCAGGCCCAGGCCACAAAGAATAGAAACAAATAGCAAGGAATTGCAGGGACAGCATCAGGAAGACTAAAGCCGGAAATAGACTGAGAATAGCAAGGAATGCAAAGAACAAGAAAGCCTTTTTCAGATACACTTAAAACAAAAGACATGTGAAAGAAAAAAGTATCCATCTACGTAAAGTGGATGGCAGAGTGATAACTGATGACAAGTAAAAAGCAGAGGGGCTCAGTTTTCTTCCAAAAGAAAATCTGCAACAAAGAGGAAGTAAAAGCTGAAAATGAGAGATGGCAGCCCAAGACTGGCAGGGTCAAGGAATATCTAGATGGAAGAAACTCATTCAAATCTCCAGGGCCAATGAACTTCATCCCAGAGTTATAAAAGAGCTAGTGGAGGAACTCACAGAATTAGTCTATTTCTTCAATAAATCTTGGAAAACTAGAAGTGCCAGATGACTGGAGATGGACGAACACTGTTCCCATCTTCAAAAATGGAAAACGGATTAACCTGGGAACTAGAGACCAGTTAGTCTGACATCAATCCCTGGAAAAGATCTGGAGCAAATTATTAAGAAATTAGTCTGCAAGCACCTTGAAGAAAATGCAGTGTTTAATAAAGCCAACATGGGTTTATCAAAAATAATCCTGTCAGATCAGTTTAATTTCATTTTTTTACTGGGTTACCTCCCAAAGGGACAGCAGAAACAATGTGGGCATAATCTTTTTACTTCAACAAAGCTTTCAACATAGTGCGCTATGAGATTCTGATAAACAAATTAGCAAAAAGTGGACTAGATGGAAAAATGATTAGATGGATCAGAATTGGCTACTAAATTGGACACAAAGAGTGCTCATCAATGGCACCTACTCAAACCGGAGGGGGGGTAACTAGTGGGGTGCTGCAGGATTCAGTCCTAGGCCCAGTGCTCTTCAAAAGCTTTATTGATGATTTAGATGAGGAAGTACAAGGAATGGTAATCAAATTTTCAGATGATACAAGACTGGGTGGAATAGTGAATATCTTGGAAGACAGAATGAAGGTCCAGGGCAATCTTTAGAAACATGAATGCTGGACTGAAAGAATGAGATTCAGTAGGAACAAGTGACAAGTCCTCCACTTAGAAAAAAAGAAACCAGATGCTTCGAAACAAGATGGGGAATCATGTCTCAACCGAGCTAAAAAAGATCTTAGAGTTATTGTGGACAACAGGCTAAATATGACCCAACAATGCAATGCAGCCGCCAAAAGGGCAAATGTTATTTTGGGATGCATTAATAGAAGTATTATTTCCAAATCATGAGAAGTAGTAGGCCACCTATAGCCCTCACTAGTAAGACACCGTCTGGAATACTGTGTCCAGTTCTGGGCACCAAGATTTAAGAAAGATGCAGAAAAACTAGAAAGAGTCCAGAGAAGACAAATGGAAATTATTCAGGGTTTTGAAACACTGCCCTATGAGGAGAGACTGAGAGAACCGGAAATGTTCAACCTTGAGAAGACAAGACTGAGGGGGGACATGATATTACTCTGTAAGTACCTCAAAGGCTGTCACAATAAGGAAGATCAAAATCTTTTCTCACTGATACTTGAGTACAGGACATCGAATAATCTACTCAAATTGCAACAACTCAGATTCAGACTAGATATCAGGAAAAGTGTCCTCACTGTCAGAGCAACATGGCCATGGAACCAGTTGCCTAGAGAGGATGTGGGTTCTCCCTTGATGGAGCCATTTGAAAAGAAACTGGACAGCCATCTGAATGGGATGGTGTAAATTGGTGTCCTGCAACAGTAGGAGGGTGGACCCAATGGCCTTCTTGGTCCCTTGCAACTCTACTATTTATGATTCTATGATTCTTCTAGATAGGTCTAGGTTGTTGTTTTTTTCTCTAAGGACTCATAGCATGTATTACTGGAGACTATGTGTTGCGGAAAAGAGTGTAAGACTCATGGACGACTGACTTGTAGAGATTTAGTCTCTTGAGCTATCTGGTCCGGAACATTGGGCTTTCCAATGTTTTAGACAGAACAATTTCCAAATCCTGTCAGGAGATTCCAAGAGTTGAACCAGGGCCTTCTCTTTTTAGGACCTTCCTGTTACCTTGGTATCCACCATTTTCTTTGGTCCTTAGTACAGTAAGAACTCAAATTGATAAATGAGTTTGTCCTGTGGCTTGCTTCATATTTTTCTGCATCTAGTTTTAATCTAGCAGAATATATTTCTGCTAGAGAGCCTAGTAATCCTAAATACTCTATACAGAGCATGTGTGCCTGGATCTAGAAATTGCTGGCTTTAATTCATATATATGAGCTAGCATTCCACTGATTTCATGAAACTTGTATGAGGGTAAACTCTAATTCATACTCACTGGAATTAGATGCAGTTTACATCATGATGTTTATTAACATAGAATTTGTATTAAGAACTTTTAAAACTACAAAAAACTTAAAACAATTTATTTAATGGAGTTGTATGCTTACAATAATTCAGCAAAATATAAAATACTGTTTTTGGTTTGTTTTCATCTGCACCTTTTAAATAAAAAATAAACTTATTTTGACAATAATTTGCAGTCAATATTTTTATTGCCATGTTTTATTATCTAGAATCATGTTAAATATAGCATGCAAATAACTGAGTAACAATAATGGTGTACATATTTCATTGTAAAGTAACTTTTTTAAAAGCTTTGAACGAACTATAGCACAACATTTTCACTGGACAAATATAAAATGTATTCACTATTAAAAACCTATAAAATGATGCTGCTTTCTAAATCCTTCACATGAATCATACTTAACTGAGGTCTTAAATTTTCCTATACATATTATCAGTTTATATAACTCAAATGTATTATTGCTTTCCTGTGTAATATAATTGCAACAATGAAACAAAGCAACAGAAGAAAACTTTGACTTTGAACATGTAGAAATAATGTACATAAATGGTCCAGCCCCAACATACTAAATACTCCATCTAGATTAGAATATGCCTGACTTCTGCAAAACCTGAGTAGAACTGCACACGCACAAGGAGTGTGATGCGTGTTTATCATGAGTATACACCAGTGCTTTTTAATAATTCAAACTCAGGCTGTATTTTGTTATCTTATCTAAAACAGTCTAGGAAATAAACAAGAAAACACTTTGTCCACACTCTATGGGACTTCTTAGTTTTACAAAACTTTAGCATCACAGATTTACTAGAATATACACATTTTTTTAAAAAAAGGATCCAAAGTCATGCTGCTTATTAACAAACATAATATAATATATTATGTAAGGTGACCTTCTAGTTTCAAAGTGTTACCGTAAAGCATGAAAATAGAGAAGGAATAATTAATTCCATGGAGATTTCTCTGAATGAAATGAGGAACAATTCAATCCACGGAGATTTCACTAGCCAGCCGGAGACAGTTGTACATTTCGTTGGGCAGATCAGCTCTCGTGAGATTATTTGCATCCAAACGCAGATGTCTGATCCTGGAATAGGCTAGTACTCCAACCACTTTACAAAAGCTGCTCACTGGGAATTCTGTAATATGAATGACACACTATTAGGAGTAGAACACAATGATATTTAGTTTATCACATTTGGTTGCAAATAATACCAAATGCTTTGGCAGAATTTGTGTGTCAAATAGAAATGACCAGATTTATTTAAGCTTATCAAAAGTTCTGCATTATGTTCAATCTTAGATTTTTAAGAGTTTATAGAAAAGATATTAAACATAAGTTTGGATTGTAGCTAATTATAAAAAGATCCAGTAACGAGATGATCACATAACATGATTTTGATGCAGCTGAAAGGAAAGCAACTTCAATTTTTGTTTTGTTTTCCTTTGTTTTTAACTGTGTCAAATCTAGGTAATTTTAGGAGGAATCAATACATACACTTTGAGGCCTTAAATTTCTTGAGTGATACTTCAAATATTTCATTTTGAAATATATTGTGAAAGGTTAGAAAGTTGCATGAGAAAGATAATTATTAATTACTACATTTTAATTAATGCAATTATTATTAATAATAATTTTTACTTTTATTTATGATAACAATAATAAATTAAAGGGCCTCACTGTGGGGTACATTCATGGAAGATATATGGGATTTTCCATTTCAATAGCTCAGTTGTGGCCAACAGAGGTCTGGAAGATTCTATCAATCTTGGGTATTATAGATTTATATCCTAGTAAAAGGTTCCTTTGAGGACCTGGTGGGCTGATTTTATCACACACTGAAAAACTCTTTCAAATTTAATAAAACTGATTTATTAAACTCACTTTGGAATTCCTGCAGATGTGTCAACATTTGAGTAAGATTATTTGAATGTCTTCCAAATGCTGCTTTACACTAAATTCACTGAGAAAGCCACTCGCTCCTCTATACACACAGATCTTACTCCATAAGATGAAAAATATTCCACTGTAACAGGCTTGCTATTGGCTTATGATCCTGATTTGTTAGAACAGCAACAAACCAGGGATACTGGTTCAGCTGTGACATTAAACAAACTACAGATGGATGCTTTCTGCTTTCTAGTAGAGCCTAGTGGGAGTGACCAAGAAATTGCCCCAGCATGCTTGCTTGTTTCTGATAAATCAACATTCTTACTCATTGTTACATCTACTCTGGACCATTGTCTTCCAGTCTTGGGCTAACATCTATGTAGCCTAGTTAGAAGAATGATGCTTAGGCTGGTGTACAGATTACTAACCTCTTCTTTTTGAATTCCCTTAGAGTGCTGAATGTCAGGAAGATAAATTCATCAGTTTGAATGTATTGGTTGCATTTGTTTAAAATCCCTTGGCAACCTCATTTATTCTATTTTGCCTTATTTCATATGTACTTTTTTCTTTCTGTTTTTGTTATGTTAAGAAAATAAAAGTAATTAAAATGATGCTTAGGTAGTACTTTCTTTGGGCAGTGATTGTATTTGGAAAAATTTCAGTTCTTTCCTTTTTGGTAATTTTGTTCAAGACATTAAGTTGGGCTTATCTTTGCAAGTTAAATCTTTGCATAGTAGTTAAATTTCCATTTTTGCTGAGGGCCACACTAGGTGTTTGGAGGTAGATCCAGGTGCCTGGTAAACCGGTTTACTGACAAACTGCTGAAAAACAACACTAGGAGGATGTGATTTGGAAGAAAGAAGTGGAGTAATACAGGAGTTTGTCAACTCTTTCTCCATGTTGAATTTTCTGTACATATTCCTTCCCTGTCTTTTCTTATACCCACAGAAACATGCTTCTAACTAGGGAGGAATTTGCAAAGAAAGTGCAGCAAATGTGTATTTATGAAGTTGCAAGAGCTAAATAATACAATAAAGCATAACAAAATGTGAACTATAGGACCTTTGGGGAAAGAGGATGACTGAAGCAAAAGGAAGTATTCAAGTAAAAAATAATACAATATTTTATAAAAAAATCCTTGAATAGGCATATCGGAACACATGAAAATAATTTGAATTGAAACATTGTTGGTGTATTTCTTTTTAGTATTTCATATTAAAATTTAATTAAACATTAAATTTCATATTTCATTATGAAAATTATTATTTTATAGAATCATAGAGTTGCAGGGGAATACAAAGGGCATCTTGTTTGAACCCTGGTTGATACAAGATGTTACAGAATTCCTGATAAGTGACCATCTAGCCTTGGTTAAACAAAACAACAACACAACTAACTAAAAAAGAGTCTGCTGTCATCAGAGGCAATTTTTTTTTACTATTGAACAGCTTAGAAGATTAAACAGCTCTTTCTCATGTTTAATCAAAATCTGCTTTCTTGAACCTGAACTCTTTGGTTCAGGTCCTGCATTTCAAAGCAACAGAAACAAATTTGGTCCATGAACTTTTCCTGGCTAAACAGAAACAAATCCTTCAATGTTACTCATATTCCTGTCCAGACTCCTCAACATTATTGTTGTCATCTCATGGACACATTCCATTTTACTGAGGTCCTTCTTAGATTGTGAGGCCCAGAACTGGATGTGTTGACAATATGTAAACTGGTAAGTGTTAATAGTCATGAATAAGAGCCTTTGACTGAGTGGAGGTGTGTGCCTGAATTGGCCAGAAAACTGATACTTAAGTACTCTTCCTGTAATAATGGTACAATTGTAGAATAGTTATTGTAACATCATGCTGGGTGCTTAATTACCTTGGCCACTAACCTCTAAGTGAAGTGGTGCTGTGACTTTTACATTCTGTCCTACAGATCCTACTTGCAGCACTTCTACACACATTCTGAAAGCAGGTGACCAGTTAATGGCCACAGAAGGACACATGTGTAATATGCCAGCAGCAAGACTGAGCCGTTCCTAAATGGAGCTCTGAACAGTTTATTTGGAATTCATGAATCTTATGCCTGTATTTGTGGAAAAGAAAAGTAGAAAATATTTTCAATAGTAGTTCCTTGTTCCTCTGCTTTCTCCCAGGATGTCTACTCTTACTTTTACCCGGTTGCTTGCCTTTTTCCATTAATCATTGCTCTTCCTGGAAAGAATAGCCATATCCCTTCCATTCACTTTTCTAATGGAATTTCTTCTCATTTCTTTTCATCCCAGGCTTGCTTGAGCATTCAAATATACTTCAGAATAAGGCCCAGAAAGGCTCTAGGATGGATAATGTGAATCGGCCACTTTAATTGTATTATTCCACAGGAATAAAATGGCAAGCGTTACATGGAACTTAACTATCATGCCCCATTAAGGCAACCCTAGCATGCTTAGCTTATTATTAGCATTACTTTTACTATTGTCTTAGAATTATTATGTAAAATATGTTAATGAATTGAATAGCTTCCTAACCAGAAATGAACTAATGAACTGAACCAGCTAACATTTATTTTGATGCCTAGTTTGGGGTCACCGCTTAGCATCCTATTACTCTCACTTGTGTCATATACTGGCTAGGTAAAAAATTGTAGAACTTCTTTCCTTTGAAAGGAGGCTTCTTCCATGATTAATAGGTGATCATGACGTGACTAATATGACAGAGTATAATGGCGAGTGGGGGAGGGTGAAGTATCACAATCTAATTCTAACTTCTGCCCATTGTAATTACTAGGAGGAGGGGAGGTGGTGCTGAAATAAACCTAAACTATAAGAGATAATTTTCCAGGTGGGTGATGTCCATTTGTGTTGCTGTACAGATGGAATGATGGCTTTCAACAATATTTTACAAAATCTGAAATTTTGTTGAAGTCTTCCATAGCCTCAACAAAAATATCGAAAGGGCTATTAATCCAATTATTTGGAGCTGTGAGCTAGAATCTATCTCCCTGAAAAGCATTGCAAAAAAGATGCCATATCACATTATGAACTGAAATGAGGATCTATAACATAGGTGGGCAACTTGTGGTCCTCTAGATGTTTTGGCCTGCAACTCCCATGAATTTGCTTGGTAGGGTTGAAAGAAGTTGTAGACCAAAATATCTAGAGGGCCATAGATTGCCCCTCCCTGTATAATTACCCACCATGCCACATTCTTTGGAGCATTCAGAACTCTCTCCAGAAAAGAAGATCGTAATTTTATCCTCATGTCTGGTATTCTTCAATTTGCCACCTTCATGTGCTCATGCTGGCACATATTATCTCCATTAGTTCTCTTAACTATACCTTACCAAACAGGGAGCATTCTTGCCAACAAGGCTAACCCACCTCATCAGCAGGTTCTGGTGAGGTGAGAAGTGAAATGAGCCTTACGTTGCCCCATTTTCCTCAGAGATAGCAGAAGAAGCTGTTCTATTGCTGGAGTGTCAGTTTTGTCGGCTCTTATACATGGAATTGTAGTTGGAGTACTATCTTGTCCTTTGCCTCAGACAGAAAAAATGGATTGGCCTGTTCTGGCTTGGCCAAACTTTCCCTAATTTTTAATAGACTATTTCTGAGGCAGACTAATGAGGGTTTGGAAAGGTCAGTTACCCTCAAGTATTAACAACAAACAAACAAAGATATTCTGAGAGGAATGGGCTCTCAGGCCAGGGGGAGTACAAAGTGGAAGCACTGTATCAAGTGTGTGTGAGTGGGATACAGGAGAGCTGAATCTATACAAATTTTGAAGGACATTGGTGATTTCCATTATTTGTGGCTTCTGCCTGTTTATAAGGAAATAATTATTTATAGTTGATTATATTTTATTATATTCTCTATCCATATACATATTTTAATTAAAGGAAGATGTGCAATTTATTGACAGAGGCACTGACCAACCATATACAACATTTTTTCCTCTGTCAAAAATGTTTCTATGAAGGGATGCTGATTTTATTGACCTTAATTTTAACACTTAATAATAAGGGGTAAACAACCTGGACACATTATTGCTCATATGCCTATACTATTTAACATTATTTCAACATTGATTTTGTTAGTATTTGATGAATATGTGCACATGTTCAAATGTTAATTTTTTTAATTTAATTTTATACAAGGAAATGCTTCAGCCAAGGTATCTTTGTAAAGCAAGAAGACTGGTTCTCCAATTCCAGAAATGCTCTGTTGGCTGCTCTGGAATGATACGCACATGTGTGGGAAGTGAAGCAATATATGAAACCATTCTGGCAATAATGTCATGTATTGTGACCCCATAGTAGAAAGCAATGAAGAAGAAACAAAAGTTAAGGATGTGCCTATTTTTTAGCCACTGTTGTCATTTCATTGTCTTGTAATGTTCCCTTTTACTGGAAAAAAAATGGCAAATATTACTCACTGTTAATCTGGTTGACTTGGAGGTAGTAGTTTTCAAGGTGCTCGTTTACTGTTGGAATGCTCTTCAGCTGATTATAGGAGAGATCCAGCTCAACAAGACTAGAAATATTGAAAGGATTCCCTGGTATTCCAGAATCTGACAACTTATTGTGAGATAGACCTAAAAACTGCAGTACTTTAAGATGCTGGAAATACTCATCAGGAATTTTGGTAATTTGATTATTGTCAAAATACAGCATCAGTAAATTAGGGGGCATTCCCAAAGGAAGCTTAGAAAGTTTATTGAAGCTCAAGTCAAGGTACACAAGTGAATTTAAGCCTTTAAAAACCCCAGAAAGTGTATCTTCTGTTAGTTGGTTATGCTGTAAGTGAATGATGGTCAGATTCACAAGTCCTTCGAGTGAATTGGGGTTGACTTTATTAATCTTGTTGTTAGCGAGCTGCAGGTCATCCAGCGTATTGGGAAGTGGCCCAACAACTTCGGTTAAGTTGTTGTAATTTATGTGCAGTTTTTTCAAATTTTTTAATTTGGCAAAGACTTTGCCCTTAATTTTTGAATTCTCCAGATAGTTATTATCTAGAATTAGCCACTCCAGGTCTGTTACATTATCGAAAGATTTTTCATCTAAGCTATCGAGCATATTATTACGAAGATACAGGTATTTAATTCCAGAAGGAAGAATTGGGAGACTCTTCAGTTTAAGATTGTCACAATACATAGCTGTTGGATAGCTGATAGGGCAAGTACATTCTGGTGCACAGACTGCTGTTGATGGCCCAAACATTGAGGGAGCATAACCATAATCAGCCTCTGAAGGATAATATCCATCATAATCGAATTGACAGAAGATGCCACTGACCAGGAAAAGGAGGAAAGGAACAGAATTCAGATGCATCTTTGCAGTGTGGGTTGTTTCTGTTGAGGGGAGATAAAATGCATATGATTATCCGATTGGTCATTACAAGCCAAGTTATTGGAAGAATTAAAACAAAAGTTCATATTTTATAAGCATATGCAATATGAATACAATAATTTATTTACAATAGCATTTAACGGTGCTTAGGCTTAGTTCCTTATATCTTACTTAGGGACTTGTTACATCAGGTACATATAGTTTTACTCAATGATATTATACTTGTAGTAGGTAATGCTGTTGACAAAGAGTATCAGCCCCTGATGAGACAAGATGATAAGTGCTGACAAGAACTTAGCCTAATCAGTAACATTCTTTCCTTGTATAGATATCATGAATGTTTGAAATTGGAATACACATGTTGAATTGAAGGTATGAAAATATAGAACAGAATTAGTGGACAATTAACAATGAAAGTTGATAGTGTTGGACTTGGACTGGAAATACCTAGCATCAAATCATATATCTACCTTCAGTTAATCACTCTTTTTCATGCTAACATAGCTGTCCATATGAGGATTAAAGTGAATAACACCATGCATGCTATCCTTGGTGAAAGGCTAAGAAAAATAATCTTATTAATGCCAGCGGTTGTAAGAGCTTCTGCATTCATGTCCAGTGTTCAACTTAAGCACCACTTTCACATAGCCATTATTTATTTATATATTGTAGTTATTTATGCATGTATAAATATAACACCTATAACTGCCAAGGCCTTCTTAGGCAACTTACAATGTATTATGTATGTGCCCGAGTGTATTTTGACAAGCATCCATCATGTTGTGATCAGCCTTTAGGAGATTGTGCTTTCATCTGTGAATCAGCACGAAGTGTCAAAAGTGAGAAGGAGGAAATGGACAAATGAAAGTCTGTATGCTGTGTATACAAAGCTGGGTCCAGATTTAGATGTGTGAAGCTGGGCTGGTGGAAACAGACTTCCCTGTATAGCTGCCATGCTGAACTCTTCAGTCCACTGAAACACATGGCAGGCCAAGGGACTCTGTTGCATGGGGCAAGCTGACAAGTGGGAGGGAAGGAATGATCTCTGAAGATTAGTGCAGGGACCTTCTGTGAGTGGAGCCCTCAGGATCCAAATCTTGGCTTCATTCCATAATTAATTTTTTAATTACCAAATAAAAGGAAATAAGTGGACAGATTGCATGAGTTAAAAATGGAAAGAATTGCCACATGTTTATTTTTTTATTTGACAGTAAAATTTTGAAGGGAATATGATGGACAACACTTATATTTGGTCACTTTTGCAGACCCATAGAGCAATGTAAAATATATATTCTTTTCTTACCAGATTGGATGAAATGAGAATGGGAAGTCTCATACATGACTTTTATCTATTTCCTCATTTGTTGTAATTAGACCTTTAAATCTTTAAGCTATGTCTCATTGCTTTAATCAGAGGTGGGCAGATTTGGCCAACTATTTTGCATCCACCCAACTGCTTGTGGGCCACAAACTTTCATCACTGCTATGGGACTTCACAGGCACTGACAACAGCAACAACAATAGCTGATTTCCCACCAACCTGCAGTGTCAAACTGCTATGGAATGATGAAATTGCAAAATGTCAAGCTAAATTTGGTTGTTGTAGTTATTTGGCCATTGACTTCTAGCAGTAAATCAGCTATTTTTTTGCTGCCACTTTGAATTTTGGTGGTGGGGGCGGCACTAAAGGGAGTGGCAGCTACATGTAATCCATAGACCATGTGTTGTCTACTCCTCCATTAAACAAAAGATGACAAATGATTCACCATCATTTGTGATCATTATAGATTTGCAATGTAGAATCACTTTGAAAACTTTATATGCTAAGCTGGTAGCTTTATTGCCTGTAGAAAATATCCTGGGCAGTATATATCTGTGGTCAAGGGCTCCTTTTAGGTGGGAGACACTGTCAGAAGCAGAAGCTGGAGGCGGGTCCAGAAGTTACCCGCAGGAAACATAATCCTTATGTCTCTTTATATACTTTAGATATATCTATTATGGGAGTGTAGAATAGGACACATATGTAGCAAATACACATATCCCATATAAACAACCACTGTTTATTTCAGAGTGCAATTCTATCCATGCTTGTACATAAAAAATGTCCTCTAACTCCCAGCATCCTCCATCGGTGCTGGCTGGGGCATTCTGGGAATTGTAGGACTTTTTCTGCTAGAACACATGTAGGATTGAACTCTCATTGGTCTGCAACTGAAAAACAATTGGACTTGCTTGGAACCTGTGCACCATTCTCTCTCACCCACAATACACCACTAGGTTTAGCTTGATACACTATGACTTCCCCATCAGAGAGAGATTATAAAATTTCTAGCACTGTAACATGTGAATGCATGTGTTATGCTGTTAGTTGCAGCAATTTGTTTTAAGGTAAAATGTATCCAGGAAGATATTTTTGGATAAGCTTATAATGGAATGCAGAGAGACTGTAAATGTGGTTAAAATTATACTGGTTCCTGGATCCTAAGTAACTCTGCTGTATTTTGGCATACCTACATGAAATATATGTATATCCATTTGTTTACTTAATTTGCTTACTTAGAGGCCCTTTACTATCTTACAAACTTTTAATAAGGCAGAATTCAGAAAGTGTGAAAAAATGAGAATTTTGGGGGAATACAATGGATTTTAGTGGAGCTGATTGTATCCTAAAAGTGTCTGTGTGAGAACACATTAACAGCTACAAATAATAGCACTGAGCTGCAACAGTTATAGGTTAAAAATCATTATGCACAGTTAGTTTATAAGTTGCTTCTGTATGGTAAAGCTGCCAAAGAAATATTTATATCTCTTAAAAGCATAGGTTTTTTAAAGGCCTTATGTGGATTGACACACTTTGGCCTTGTAAAGATTTCTACAAAATTTGTTCTGTGTTTGGTAGAATTGATTGCATTTCTGAAAAGAGGAGCACTGGTTCACTCAGCTAAACTATGATAAGCATTGTAACTCTGGATTATGTGATAAAATATTAGTATTTAAATATTTGAGGATAGGTACCTATTATCCAGTGTTAAAAAAGAGAATGATATCACAGTTATCTGAAAAAATATAATAAAAGACAGATAAGGATGAAAACGGTGCAGATTTCATAGGCAAGTATTTTCAAACAAAAGTTGAATATTAGAATTGCTCACTCTGTAAACATTAAATTAGTCTAGAATAGTATAACATTCTAGACTAATGTTATGGATAACATAACATTTTATTTAACCTTTGCCCTGTTGAAACATAAATGATCTATTGTATAAGCTTGCTTATTCATTTTAAAATTGGAGTAACAATTCCTCTTTAGTCCAGTTTATACATATTAAAATATGATTAGGAATATATTATCTCACTGAATCATCAGTTAACTTAGATATACAATCTAAAGGCACTATCAGATGCTTTAAAATATTCTTGCAAGTATTTGTATATGCAAGTAATACAGTGTTATTTGGCAGCTTCCTCCTGAGAGAAAAGTTCTCTTACACTAGCAATGAGCAAGTAAGGAATCTTCTTATGTCCTTTTTATTTAAGTGTAATATTAGTACAGTTCAATAGAACTGTACAGTTCAATAGAACAGGGCAGTTAAATAGTATCTTGCCTCAGAAAAATACAGCATATGTTCAATAATCTTCACTGATGCATTACCATATTGTTGTTATAATAGAGCCAAATCCTATCAGGTAACACATTAGTTATGTTAGTATTGTTCATCTATTTAATATCCACACTTCTATTAATTAGAAGCTGGAAGAAAAGAAATGCACATTTCTTGAATCTTGTTTTCTGAAGACAACACATTCTGCAAAGAAATGCAACAATAACCCACAAAATATGTAGAGCATTTTAAAACAAACTGTGAAGGCGCATGCAGAAAAGCAACTGTGTTCAGTTTGCAAATTGGCAAAGTTCTGGCATGTTCTTATTACTGCTTTGTTCAGCTGCTTGCTTGTTAGCATTAAAGCATGCGAGAGCACTTACCTTTCTGACTTGAAGCTCCTTGCTTTAATTCCCACAGCAGATTCAGTAAGGGACTGGATCAACCAATATATGCTATAAACAGTGTCAGAAGGTAACCGGCTGCCAGATCCTCTATGATACAAGGATTTGGGGGGGAAAAATCCTAGTCACTCTGTTGCCTGAAGCTGCTATGTCATCATGGTATTCTGATGGTGGTATGCGAAGCTGCTGCTGCCTAATCAAGTGCAGGTGGACACTGCAAATGGTAAAGGACAACCCATCTGGTCTCCTTGTGGGACAGGAGGGAGATAACCCCTTCAAGCAACCTGAGAAAGTTCAGGCTGTCTACTGGAGCCTGAACAACAGAATCCTAAAAGGACAAAACCATTTTAAATATTGCACAAATTGCAAACAGACATTGCATTTTCTCTAGCACATTTTATAGCCTTCAGCAAGATCTAAGAAATAGCACTCGAACCTCAATGCAGCCACAGTCCTTAAGCCAAATGACTCATTCACTTTTTCTTATTTTTCTTTCTGCTCAGTTATGTACATAATAACTTAATAAAAGTCCCTGCAGTGGAAAATAACCCCAAATGGTGAAACTACATAAGGTTTTTCCTTTGCAATATGGTACTGTAACAGACATTCTTCAATGCCATATAAGGGAAGTGCTTATGATTAAATATGCACATATTCTTTTATGATTTAGCTGAAATATTTACATAAGAAAATGGTTCGTAAAAGGTATATAAATCTAGATACAGCAAGAAAATGCTTTCAGCTTCCTTAAAAGTATATTAACACGTGTCCCTTTTAGGACTTTCAAATCTGGAACCCATCAACTGTGTGTTGTCTGTTTCCTGTTCATGGATGCTGTTCAAGAATGCATCCTAAAGCCTGGAGGAGAATGTTGTTGAAATAAAGCACTGCCAAAAATAATGCAATAAAAATAATAAGGAAAATGACTGGCAAAACTGTAACTGTCTGTTCTGGTTCTAATATCTTCATGAAACTCCTACCAAAGAGATCCCACTTCTGGGATATATTGCTGTTTTAAAGACTCAGTCTCACACACAGCTGGCTTGATAAGTGTCCTGAAGGAGGAAGGGGAGGAGCTTGGTTTTTTCAGGGCCGACTAGAAGGACCACATTGCTGCATCAGATTAAAACGCCATCCCTATTCTTCCTCTCTCTTTTTAAAAGGGAATGCCATCTCTGGCCCTTATTCAGACATTATTAAAAGCAACATACTTATAGAAATAATTCCCACTAGTGTAGGGCTAGGAGTCAGGTGGAAGCCTCCTCATGTACAGTTAGTATGGTGTCATGGTTAAGAACATGGGATTGGGGACTCAGACGATCTGGGTTCCAGTCCCTACTCGGCCATGGAGCCAGCTGAGTGACTTTGGGCCAGTCACAGACACTTCGCTCAACCTACTTCACAGGGTTCTTGTTGTGGGAATAAGAATGAGAGCAGCAGGAGGAGAATGGTGTAAACTTGCTTTGAGTGTAAGTAAAAAGTGTGATACAAATCTAATAAATAAATATGCCTGAAGGCTATCTCCCTGTTGATCTGTTTCATGGCTGCATGCAGAAGGGGTTAATTGGTTCATGCTTTTGGCACAGACTCATCCTTCATCACATGTTACTTTCTTTATACTTAATGTCTGAACAGAGCTTCTGTGTCTGTTGGGTATGGTATACCTAGAAAAGTTAATTAGTACAAAAATGCATTGATAGACCATCTTCATGGGCTTTCCTCCTTGACCTTATTATGCTAAAGTTATCTGGTGTACGTAGTATGTTGGCTGTAAATCAAACTATTGATTGTATAAGCGGAAGATAATCTGAGAGCAACACTTCTGGTAAAGAGAGTGATGGTCGGACTCTGCTCTATTTGAAAAAAATATTTTTAAATGATAGGGAGCTTGGAGATAGTCTATACCCATTAAAACATACATTTACCTTCCAAAATGACCAAAGGCAAAAATTAGTTGCATCATTGCTTCTTAGTTAAATCGCATCCAGTCCTACCCATCCACATGTGGGGTCCACTGCTTGCAGAATGGTAGTGGATCATTAAGCTCAGGGCTTTTTTTGTCATAGAACGCACCAAAGCAGCACCTTTTTTCCAATGGATTTTAGGAAGTGATTTTGAATCGTAGCAAATCAGCAGCAAACATCATTAACATAGTGCCTGAAGGCTGCTTTTGTGTCTGCTATCTGATAGTGAGACAGTGGGGGTGCTGCTCTCGGTTTGGGATGCTGCTCCGCTGCTCGGCTTGGGATTGGCGTGTGTGGTTGCATGCTTGCTGCCAGTGACATGAGTTCTGGCACCTTTTTTTTTTTTTTTTTTTACAAAAAAAGCATTGATTAAGCTAACAAAAAAGGTGGAAACACTCATTTCCAGGACAGGGCAAATCAGCAGAGCTTGCAGAATGAGTTCCACTAACATAACCTGTTCCAGAAATTCGTGGAAACCTAAGTAGTAGTTTCCTCTAAGCTGTACAGTTGGGTCCTGCTGGAACAGAAGAAACAATAGGAATATGATGACAGCATTGGATACTGACTAAACTATTTACATTCCTTGCGTGCTGAATATTGGAACTATTTTTTAACAAATCTAACACGTTTGTTTGTTTGTTTGTTTGTTTGTTTATTAAAAGCTTATCTGACTCGTCTACCACTAAAATCTTGGGATGGCTTACAATAAAATGTATTCCTTTAACATTGTGGGCATTCCACACCAAACATGGCAGTGCTCTGTGGTCTTGTTTTAACACTCTTTGCTGTATCCCATTCTAATTTTCACCTTTCTCAAGTACAGCCCTTCACCGCACAACTTGTAGGATCAGAATTGCATTTTTTTTTTCAATTTTCATGTGCGGAGTTGAATCCATACATCAATATATACACCAGTAATGCTTGAAAGTAAGAAAAATGTGGAATACATAACATTGTAAACAGTGAGTTAGGGAGCAATGGTTTGTGCTAGCATAAGTATGCATCGCTTATGTGGAATGTGTGAAGGCTACATAACATGACTGAGCTTTCCATGCTGATCATCATCCAAGTGTGACGGTGTAAATTGGTGTCCTGCACCAGCAGGGGGTTGGAACCAATGGCTTTCATGGCCCCTTCCAACTCTACTGTTCCATGATTCTATCAATGCATGGCTACAAGCCCAGCTATTCCACTAAAGAGAAGTACACAAATAAAGGGTGCAAATATGTCAGAGTGGAAGCACTGGGATCCATCTTCATGGGTCCAGAACTGGAATATTTCACAGTCTGTGTTACAGAAAAGGTCTGTACCCTGTACTCACACACTGGAATGAAAAAGATTAGTTAGTGCACTCATATGGATAACTGGCTGGAGGGATGCTGAAAGCTGATGGTCTTTTTCTTCCTAATCATGCAGAAGGATGTGCCCTTTGGGTGCAAACCTTTGGAAACTGATGCAAATCCTCAGCTGCATTCCTTTGCATCCATGTGGAGTGGGAAGAGCAGCAGTGGCAGTCCTCACCTTTCCACTTCTCCTGCTTTGCATTTTTGCTTACCTAGTCATTTTTGGCCACGTAGCAACACTGTTTCAGAGGGTGAGAAAGGAGGCTGAAGCAGCTTTGGAATTCTTCCTGTTCTGACTATTCCAGTCTCCTCCTGCACCTTCCCTGAATGCCTCACTTTCATCCATCTCTAATGTTGCTTTTCCACGATTGGAGACAGTTAGTCATGCTTCAAAGAGAGGGGAAAGGGATCAGAACTTAGGTTCCCAGCTCTGAGGTGAGAGTACAGCTTCAGTTCAGTTTTGTTTAACTAGTTATCAGAATTTACAATGTGCTCCTTACCATAAAAGAATAAGATTAAAGAAGAAGAAGTGAGAGAAACTCAAACTGACACCTTCATTCAAGTAGGCCTAGAATTATGAATGTTTTTCTCTTAAAGGTCTGGTTTTCATTCCTTGTACATTCAACCATGTTAGTGTTTAAAGCAGTATTTAATTGTGTCACTATTGACATCGATGTCTCTTATATTATTTTCTCTTCATTCTTAACAGCTGCATGGTGGTTGAGGCCCCATCGGTGCGGGTGTTCAAGGACATCCACATGGTGGGCATGTCGTGAGCGGAGCTGGCTGGTGCTGGAGGTCAGACTAGATGGCCCAGGAGACCCCTTCTGACTCGCTCTGTTTTCTCTGTTTCTAAGTTCTATCACAGTCCTCACCATGCTAGAAATAGGTGCATCTATTGAAATGAACTGCTGCAGATGCAAGATAATTTTGTTTTAATTAATTTTTGATAAGAATTTATCAAAATTTGCAAAGTATATATTCAGAAAAGAACTTGAGATTTTTTTTAAAAAAATGAATGCAATGGAAAGTAAATCTGACAGCTTTACCCATCACGAGTGCAAACCTAGATATTATGTCTAGACAGCACTTGTCCAAGGGCACACAAATCATATAACTCTCAGCCTTTCCCAGCCAATAGTCATTCTGGAAGCTGTGTGGCTTTTTTCAGACCAAACATGAATATTTTTAATGTTTAAGTAATTTTAATTTTTTTAAATTAAAATGCATGCATTAACCTAGTTTTCTGTCAGAAACCAGAAACTATTGTTCACCAAGAAAACTCTAGTTACCTGTATGTAATATGCTGTAAGCCACCCTAAGGGCTCCCTGAAGACATGTGTCCAGAAAGACATGCCAAATTATCTTTTTCTTTTTAATGGATGAAATGGAACAACAAGACTTATGCATTCTTATTGTTATTATATGCTTTCATTTCAGCAGAGGCTGAAAAGGTAGCATACATCACATGCATGGGTTGTATCGTGCATTGTCCCTGTTGAACAGCATCTAAAGAGGAACAGACCATCCATATGTGGTGCTCTCATTACTTCCTTGTTTGTGCTGTCCAGGAAGCGCATCCAGGTGTAGGAATACATTCTAATGCATTGGCTGCTGCGACTGCCCCCTCCCCAAGACCTGTGTCCATTGCAGCAGAAAGAGAGTTAGTTGCTCTTGTTTACTTCTAGCAGCCAAAGATAAAGGGATGTGTTTCTTCTTTCCTCCAATTCAGTCTTGGCTTTTCTGTTATATTGTCCAGCTGGTGAAGAGGCAGGGGAACTTCTGGGATCATTTGTTAAGAAGGTTGCATGAATGGCTGCCC